CAAGGCCCTGAAAGCAGAGTTCAAGGAACCCTGCCTCCGAAGGAAAATCAGGAGCAAGCCTCCTGAAAGGGTAAGACCCTGAAGGTAGAGTTCAAGGACTCTTGCCTCTGAAGAAAAATCAGGAGCAAGCCTCCTAGAAGGGCAAGGCTCTGGAGGCAGAGTTCAAGGACTCCTGCCTCCGAAGAAAAATCAGGAGCAAGCCTTCTGGAAGGGCAAGACCCTCGAGGTAGTCCGAGGAACAAACCCCGGGGGAGGACACTACCCCTCAAGGGCCTGAGACCCTTAAAATGATAAAGCTGAACCAATCGACGGATCAACCAAATTGCTCCCCAAGTGTCAGAGCTAAGGAGATATTTTGTTACCAATAGTTACTGCAACATCAGCGTTAAAAAAAATGGTTTCAATAGATAATGCAAGTGCTCAATAATGAAAAGAAAGCCATTCATTCCAAAAACGGGGCTTTGCGTCCCCGAGAGCTACAAGGAAAGAGGGAAGGTACATATCCAAATTCAAAATTACAGTTCAAAAAGAGGAAACAATTTTCATCTAGCCCCGGACATCTCCAGTAAATCGCTGCAAGGAGAATCAACACTGAAGGGATGAGCAGCTTCTGGGGTAGATAGAGCTGGAGCAGAATCAGCAACGGGCGGGATCTAAGGAATGTCGGACTTGGGGGCAGAAGGGGCTGGCTCTAGCAGGGTTTCATCAGATGGGACGAGAATTACCACCTCAGGTGGATCTGTTAAAACTTGCATCGGCGTTGGGGCCACACCCTCAGCCGCAATCTTGGCCTCAGCCTGCACCATCTCTTCCGATGGCACATAGTTATGCATCTTGAGGAGTGGAGAGTCCGGAAGGACACCGGCGGCTCGGAGCGCTGCATCCCACCCTTTTTTGAAGAACTCTTTACTGTTCTCCTCAAGGGTGGGTAGTATGTCATCGGCAAACTCCTCTCGGATTTGCTCCTCAGACTTCTTGTTCTCTAATTTAGCCCTGATCCTGTCCAGCTCCTGGGTCACAGCCAGGCAATTTTCCTTTGACCCGATGATCCTCACCTCAGTCGCAGAGAGCCGCACCGTCTGCTCCATAATCCTCCTCTCAGGGTCGGCCAAAGTAGCACTTAGCTTTTTAGTGTCGACCTTAGCCAATTTGCTGTCCTTGAGTAGTTGCTCAATCTAGGTGGCTCGACACGCGAGGGTGGAATCACTGGCAGCCACGTCCTCCTTAGCGCTGGCCAAGGCTCCTTCAACCTCTTCCTTCTGCTCTTGGGTCCGTTGGAGGTCCATTCTAGCTACATGGTATCGCGTAGCGATTATGGAAATTTGTTGGGTGGCCTGCGAGGGAAAGAACTTGGTCAATTTGTGGGTGATACAGTAAGGAAAGGCTAAACCAAATATGAACTTACCACCAGAGAATTCTGAATGATGGAACAGAACATGTTCGTTGTCCGCCCCCTATGAGCCTCCATGTCGGCCTCAAAGTGGAGCGTTTCGCTCATTGCATTGGTGACATGGGGGTCCTGCAAAATAGAATCGTTGACCCTGATCACCCGGTTCATGTGATCAGTAGCTCGAGGGTTCCACTCTGCGGCTTCCATCGTCTACGGCAGGGGAGGTAGAGTTTGTCTCTGTTACTGCTGCTGTTGTTGTCGCTGCTGAGGTGGAGGGGGCAACCCACGGGCCCTCCCGTTTTGTTGTTGAGCGGAGGGGGCCCTAGACCCCCCTATCAAGGTCGTCATGCCTTAGCTTGGTCCTTCTCTCCTCCTCAACTTGGGGATCTTGGTTATGCACCTGACCCCGACCAGCGACCCTCGAAGGTGGGGGGTTGGCGCTGATCCCTATTGATGGGGCACTGCTGGTTGACCCTCGTCCTCTCCCTACGGCAAGGGCTTACCTCTGCCTTAGAAAATTCAAGTCTATGCGGGGCGTATGTGACATGGCTATCTCAAAGGCGTCCTTGGCGTCTAGGGACTGGAGAATGTTGAAGTCGGGCCACGGATCTCTCCCTGAGGTCCCCACCTCGGCGTGCGAAGGAACAAAAACCTCTCTGGTCCTAAACTTCCCAACTTCAAAGGCGCCCTCTACTTCCGCCTCAGTAGCCCTGTCGGCCTTTTCTTGCGCTATCTGATCAAAGAGTTCAGACCACTGCGAAGGGTTGAAAGGTTGGGGGAGTTGTGAAAACTTCTTATACCTTGCTGTGTAGTTTAGAAGAAGATGAACGGCCCGGCCAAACCTGTCATCGCCGACAAACTTTCAAACAGTGATGAGGTCAGCAAAGTTCACCAAAGACCAAGGAGGAGGAGCGACTTCTTGGGTGGAGACGTCTGCACAAGAAAGAAGGTTATTAACACTTGCAAAATATCCCAAGGACAGTAAAAAATTGGACTCGAAGAAGCCGACGTACTTGCCGTTCTCCATTCGAGAGGGCACCTCAGACCATCATACTCGGGACCGGTTCCCTTCTCCCAAGATCTGTTGAAGATCAAAAGGTCATCCTTGTACCCTTTATCTGAATCAGGGAGGTGAGTTACAAGGTACATAGATGAATCCCTGGCCTTGAGGTAGAAGTTCTGCTGGGGCACGACCCTCAATAGGGAGTAGCTGAAAAGGATATCGTTGAGCCCAACGTTTACCCCGAGGCAATTATTAAGCTCTAAGACCCTTATTATTATTCTAAAGACATTAAGACAACACTGCTCAGGAAAGAGGTTGAAATGGGAGAGGAACTGGAGGCGCAGAGGAGGCAGAGGGAACCTAATTCCACCCTCTATGATTGCTTTGGTGTAAAAGGGTATCTCATCCTTGGCCCCGAGATTACGGGTATGCAGAACTGGGTCGTACTCTTCTATACCTACGTTTTAAGGGATGTGATATCGGGCCCTAAACTTATTGATCTGTTGGTCTCCCTTCACTTTGTACTTCCTTGGCCTTGAGGAACTAGCCTAGGGGCCCTTGGTGACAGGGCGGCGTCAGGGCATCTCCAATTAAAATAAAAAGAAAAGGGGAAGAAAAAAGAGTTTTCCTATAAGGAAGGAACCCCGAGAGGTTTCCTGAGGGTTGGTTAAACGATGACAACCAGAAACACCTCCGGTTACCGGAGAATGAAAAATAAAACCCAGAAGAAGGATGGAAAGAAGGGGGATGCAAGGACTCACCAGAATGCAAACGAAGATTTTTGAATAACTTGGAGTGGTTCCTTTCTCGAGGAAGGTTCAGAAGCAAGAGGGGGTTTGCTGGTATAAACTCCGGTGATGATTGACTAGTAGACGATGTGACGAGAGGGTCTTCAGCGAAGTTTTTCGACAAAAGCTTTCTGAGTTCAAAAATGGTAACAGTGTGGGAAAGAGAGAGAAATCCCGTTTATATAGCATCCGTCCCCATCATTGGGCACGAAGCACGGAGAGGAGCATTTAATGCGCACGACCCCCTAAGCAGCAGAAAATGACTGGAAGCAATGATGGGGTGGTTGGGGCAGTGCAGAGCCCTTCGTCTTCTTACGACACGTGTCCTCGACGTTAGAAGATCGAAGGCTGGGGGGCAGTTGATGGGACATTTCTAGAAACTCTCAGATGACGACATGTGTACTCGACGTCAATGGAGACTCTCTGCCTGTGATCTCGACACGTATTCGTCGATTTACAATCCCCCTGTCCCGTGGATACTATTCACAGGGACCAAGGATCCCCGACACGCCGTGGACCGACACGTATTTCTCGGCAGTTTGGGTATATCTGTCCTAATCATTCTAGTTCCTCGGCCCCGAGGTGTGTCTATCCACATGGGCGTTTCTACTCCTGTAGGGGCTATTGATGGATAGACCACTAGCCTAGGCTAGGCTAGACTAGCCATCATGACCTCATCTTACTCAAATGGTGTCAAGAGGCACAATAAAGTAGAAGGCTCAACCAGAGGGGGATGGACACGTGACATATTGTATCAGATCAGAGACAAAAAAGACCAGAACGCCCTCGCTGACACACGATTTGGGAAAGCAAGAATTTAATGCATCATTCCCTTGATAAGACAACATTTAATGCATGAGAGCCTGGAAGTGTAATAAATGTTCCAATGCCTGAGCATTTAATATACCCCCGCCGAGAGAAGGTCATTAAACATTTGACAAACCGAGAAGAAATCACTAGTTGTTCGGGGTCCCGAGTAGTTAAGAATGAGCCCACCTCCAATGATTATCTACTAGCTACACTGTCAGCAATGATGAGTTTTTAAAAGTATAAATAGTCCTCACAAACACATTAAAGAGGTACGCAAAAAACCCTTTCTCAAGCATCATACAGTGTTTTCTTCTTCTCTTCTCTCAAGGAACTGACTTGATTGTCAGAGGGGATACGCCGAAAAACACTCTGACGCCCTTTTAACCTGTCTTTCTCTGTTTCAGGAACCTCTCTTAGCCTCACAGGATCAATCTGGTGACCCACAAAAACTACTCATTACCATTTCTTAGGCCATCTCCGTCCCTTACAACCTGTTCTAAGTAGCAAGATTGACCACTTGAGTGACGGACTCGTGTTCACCACAGAAGAGATCTGTTCTACTATTTATATTATGCAAGATCGTGCACGCACACTTGTAATATGAAATCAATATATAATTAATGATTTTAAATTTAATGTCATAGTTTTTTAGATAGTGGACGATTAAATCTGCCAAATCAATCAAAAACATAGAACTATAAGAATTGAACTGCATACAATATGAATTGGATTAAATATAATTTACACATAATATAATTACAATAAGATAGAAAGCAATATAATATAATTATAAATAAGGGGAATAAAAATTACGCAAACGCAAAAAAAGTTGTACGATTAAGAGAGATACCACATAAGCCAACCCATCTAGAACCTCGTTTTTATTACGGCAAGTGCAGAATTTGTTGCCGATAACATGTGTTCAAATGGTAAATCAATTATTTTGACAGGTACGACATTTCCTACTTAAGCAAAACAACCCCGCACCCGCCCAAAAAAAAAAAAAATCGTAACTAAAACATTAGCTCGTCTTTAGCTAGCCACGTTTGTCACGAGCATATAAAATTACAAATTATATAATAACCCATCCGCCCTTGAAGACCACTGTATTTAGCCCAAATCAGACGATATCAATTCGCTAACCAGATCCCCTTGTCGTCGTGCTTCTCTTTCTTTGTAGAAGGTACTTTTATTTGTAGCAGATTTTTTTCTTTTGTTAGTCCCCTTACAGTTACAATTGGAATAACAAGTCTAGGGTTTTTGACTTTGTCTGGAATTATTGCAGTGGTTTTGAAATGGAAACGGCAACTGCTCTTCGCTCATCTTTCGGAATTTGCTGTAGGCCTCCGAATTCCTCTTCCTGGTCGGTGGTTCCGGCGCCGAATGGACCTGATTCAGTGCGGTTTGGCACCTCAACCCTTTTAATCAAGGTACTAAACCATATTCTACGACATGCATTTTTATATTTTTGCAAGATATAATTACAAATTAATAAGACCGACTTTTCGAATAATCGTTTAAGTCTTGTGGGCTGTTGTCAATTCGCCGGAAACAATTCCTCCGGTTTTGTGCTCGATTAAAGGGAGGATTGTATCAAGTGATTCACTGCCTGTATAAAACCTTTGTTAGACCTCGGTCAGATCTCTTAGATCTCATAGAGCATCTTCAATAGTTCTATAATTTAGAGAGTATCTTTTTGAACATAAAGATCATCCTTAATAAAAAAGCTAAAATAGAGTGAAAATTTTTATACAACCTCAGTAGACTCAATTATATTAAAGAAATTACCTCTATAAGCAATAACATTGCATGTCTCAATTTTNTTTTTTATACAACCTCAGTAGACTCTCAATTATATTAAAGAAATTACCTCTATAAGCAATAACATTGCATGTCTCAATTTTTAGTTAATAATGATAGGGAAGACCGAAAGTAACATTGAACAAAATAATAAGAAAATATATGAAATATTTTAACTTAAATGAGCGCATAGCGCATGATCGAAATGAATAGCAAAGATGGTCATAGCCGATCCCAAATGATTGGGATATAAAGCTTGGTTTGGTTTGGTTAGAGAATGAGTTTAACTGTTTAAATGTTGAAAGCCAATTTTGTCAATTTATTTTTACCTGTACAAATAGAGAGCCTAAAATAGAGAATTAAGTAGGCANTGATCCCAAATGATTGGGATATAAAGCTTGGTTTGGTTAGAGAATGAGTTTAACTGTTTAAATGTTGAAAGCCAATTTAGTCAATTTATTTTTACCTGTACAAATAGAGAGCCTAAAATAGAGAATTAAGTAGGCATATATAGTCTATTGGAGATGATCTTATGAATTTGGTTCTTCTATTGGGACATGATTTGTTTAAGTGACATAATCACCCTTAATAATTGGAACATGATTGAGTTTTTTGAGTTCCTCAAAATATATCACTGATAATTTGAATTGGATTGGTCGGTGGCAGCAATTCCCCTCAATTTCTTGCTCAAAGTTTGGCCATAGGAGAGTGGCTGTTGGGAGCAGGAAGTGCACTGCTATCAGAGCGTCGGCTTCATCTGATTCAGCAGACTCAGGTCCAATTGCTCCACTTCAGCTGGAGTCTCCAATTGGACAGTTTCTGTCTCAAATTTTGGTAAGCCACCCACATCTTGTACCCGCTGCTGTAGAACAGCAACTTGAACAGCTTCAAACCGACCGTGATTCTGAGAATAACAATGAAGAGCTAGCAGCATCTGGCACTGAGTTAGTGTTGTACAGGTTAGTAGCAAAGTAATTGCATAGTAGTGAATAAGGGTATATTACACTTCATCTCCTAGTGTTTTGTTTCAAAAACTACTAATTCTCATGGTTTAAAGAAACCATAGTTCACCTGTCATGTTCTTTGGACCAAAGACAATAGCTAGTGGGCTTAGCAGGTGAATGTAAAAGAATTTTGATATTGTTCTCCGTAAAGAATTTTTGACAATTGAAGAATGTGCACGACGTTGAAAGTAACGAGAGAAATAGACGTGTTTATTTGAGAGTGAAACAAAGAAGAGACTGAATTGTAAGGTATAAAAATTACTTTATAATCTTTTGATTTTGAGCTTTCACTGTTTTTCAGTGAGAATTCTAATAATAGCAATTATATTCAAAAACTTTAAGGGGGTTATGTGTAGGTCTAACCATAAGGAGTTAAAGTGTTAGGATCCAATGGGTTCTTATCCCTAACCCTTTGCCAACTGTCCATGGTTGAAAATCATTTGCCTTTTGATTTTGGCTACTTGAAATCGTGTTTGAGAAGGATCAGGAAATCTCAAATTTGTTTCATTCATTTGGTTCCTTGGAGTCCCAATATTCTTGCCCACCTAAATGAATTCTCATTTTTTTTTCTTGGAAGAAAACAATGAAGACGAATTTTATGTGTATTCGATATCTCAGAAGCTGGAAATAGCATTTTTGAAGTGACAACTGATCTTGTAATTGGATGTTGAAATTATTAGGAGAATTGCTGAGGTGAAGGCTAATGAAAGGAGGAAGGCACTGGAAGAGATATTATATACTTTGGTGGTGCAGAAGTTTATTGATGCTGATGTTTGTTTAACACCGACCATAACACCCTTATCTACAGACACGTCCAGTCGACTTGATATATGGCCCAGCCAAGATGAGAAGCTTGAGCAGCTTCACTCTCCTGAAGCTTATGAGATGATCCAGAACCACCTGGCTCTCATTCTAGGGAATCGGTTGGGCGATTCAACTTCGGTGGCCCAAATAAGCAAACTAAGGGTTGGTCAGGTTTATGCAGCATCGGTGATGTATGGTTATTTCCTTAAACGGGTTGACCAGAGGTTTCAACTTGAGAAGACAATGAAAGTGCTCCCACATGGATTGGATGATGAGGAGATTAATATTCAGCAAACAATGCAGGAGGATAGAAGACCCATTGGAAATACTGGCGACGACTCTTACAAGGTGGCACAATCCCACCCTGAAGTCTCACCCTTTTCTGGTGGCATCAGTCCTGGGGGTTTTGGTCCGGGGATAAAGTCCTCCCGTTTGCGAACCTATGTAATGTCATTTGATGGGGAGACACTTCAGAGATATGCAACCATAAGATCCAAAGAGGCCGTTAGCATCATTGAGAAACACACTGAAGCATTGTTTGGTAGGCCTGAGATTGTTATCACACCTGAAGGAACCATTGATTCTTCAAAGGATGAAGTTATTAAGATTAGCTTTGGTGGTCTGAGGAGACTTGTTTTGGAGGCTGTGACCTTTGGTTCCTTCCTCTGGGATGTTGAGAGCTATGTTGACTCGAGGTACCATTTTGTTACAAACTAAGTTTTATTCACTTGCATTGATGCCAAAGAAAAACTTAAGTGGGGCCCAACTGATGAACGGAAAATGCTATGATGGAGTGCATACTTGGAGGGAAGTTTCGAGTTGTCTCACACTAATTGAGCTGTATATGTTCTTTCTTGTCTATGTAAACTTTGGAGTGTGCTTTCAATCGTATTTTGCCCATGTGAGATTCTGCTGATTTGATGGAAGTCTTTGGTCTAAGTATTACAAGTGATATATGTGGATCTCTATGTGTTCTATTTGTCATATTAGAGTTGGTTGTATGAGACTACATTACTCTCAATGAATAGATTTCTGAAAGAAATATTCAAGTAGGATCTGTTTAATATTATTATGGGTGACTGCCCTGGCTTCTAGAGGACCTACTACTTATGGAGCTTCCAGAAAAGGCATGGTGGTGAATTTCACATAGACAATATTCATGTAAGGGATCAAATATTTGTCATAACTTGCTCATAAATTAGATTTTAGATTGACTTCTTTTACTGCATAAATTAACCTCATTTTCGAAAAGTTCGATTTGTGTTTACTTTTTCCTGCATATCCCGACTACATTTTCGTATGGTATCTATACTTAAATAATGGACTTACTCCAGACGTAATATATAAACTGTTTAAAAAAAAATGTAANTATGGTATCTATGCTTAAATAATGGACTTACTCCAGACGTAATATATAAACTGTTTAAAAAAAAATGTAATTTTTTTTTTTTTTTTTATGAACACAAACATACACAAGGTAATACATGCATATTTTACCCATCTTATTATATTCGCAAGAGCGGTTCAACCATTGTCTCCAAAAATGTGTAAGGTTTGAAGGAGTGACTAAGAGGTTATCAATCACTTGTTATTTAAAGAGACCATAAGATATTTGATTTGCGAATCCACATTTTTTTAGTTATTTTGTTATCTTAGTACGTGTGAACTGTGGTTTATCTTCCCATATGTGCATGCCAGACTCGGTAGTTCCAATTGCCAGGCAAATGTTCCCACGTCAAGGGTAAAGAATTGTGCATATTGTGTATTTGAGTTAAACACACGAGGTTCCCTTTTGTTGATGGTTTGATTGATTGTCTAAGATTTTAACTCCATTAGATNCGAATCCACATTTTTTTAGTTATTTTGTTATCTTAGTACGTGTGAACTGTGGTTTATCTACCCATATGTGCATGCCAGACTCCGTAGTTCCAATTGCCAGGCAAATGTTCCCACGTCAAGGGTAAAGAATTGTGCATATTGTGTATTTGAGTTAAACACATGAGGTTCCCTTTTGTTGATGGTTTGATTGATTGTCTAAGATTTTAACTCCATTAGATAGTACAATCTAGTCATATATTGTGATAGAATTTTTACTGTTATAACACTGATGCTATCAAGAATAAACTTATTCAACAAACAAGTCTACAGCGCAACAAGCGAACCAGCTAACCTGATATCAAGTCTAATTGATCTCATTCACAAGGATCCAAGTTAGCTAAAGGTTGGAGTCAACTTGGGAACTGTCAAACGAGCTTGGTTTACCAAAAGGAGCTCATTCCGAGATAGGAGAAAACAGAGGCAGAATTACGTCTATCAGATCTTTGTTGGACTTTATGTCTAATTAATATTGGGCTCTATTTCTAATTAGAGACTTAAGATGCTCCAAATGTCATGTCATTTTTTTTAATAAATTAATATTATGTATATTCAATATATATCATATTTATTAAGTCAAATCTTTTTAGGTAACTGTCGTTAAGGTAACTACTCATTACTTCCATCTCTAGATGGAGTGACTATCATCGAGCAGTTCAAAGCTGTTGTAACTCTTTGATGGAAGGACGTTACTTGCAGTTCTCTATTGGATAAGAGTCCCTGTCTATATATATTTTCGTACCTGTGATTTTACATCAAGTCATATGGGTATTCAGATATCATATACGTAGGCAAGAAACTCTTGTCTCATATACCTCTATACAATACACATTTGTGAGGTTGTTCTTGAGTGTTCTTCTTGGGCGTTGAGGTTAAAACTGTGATACGAATTTGTGCTTGTTGGGGTCGTTGGATTCGTTGATTATTCTCTCTATAGAAAATTCAGATTTCTTATTCTTGAACTTGAATATCAATGACAAGAGGTAAATATTCAATTCTGCTACGCAAAATAAGAAGATTAAATTCTTCAATAAAGTCTATCAATTGGTATCAAAGCCGAACTTCTGTCCATTTTGTTCAATTATTATGATTATGAGAAATCATATTTTGTCTGCAGTCCTTCTACGGTATCTTTGGCTTAAAGATCTATTTTTAATATGCATGCCGATAAATGTTAATTTTGGGCACTACTTTGGATTCAAACTTTGTTGAGTACACAGAGATGAGAATTATTATGTACTATCTATCATAATCTTGAAACTTGTGATTTATTCCTCCTCTGAAACATGTCTTGACCATTAAAATGATCAAAGAAAAACATGATTTTTTTTTAAAATTTGTTTTAAGTCCTGGACACGAAAGTTTTGGCCAGAATAGTGAATTTTATTTATATTTTTTTTTGGGTAGGGAGAGAGGAGGGAAGACTTGAACAAAACCTTCATAAGGTAATGAATACCATTGAACCAAATGTCCGTTGGTAATAAATTTTATTTATACCCATTCAATATTTGGCTCAAATCTGTGGTTATACAATTGATTAATATTTTATCGAACTGATTAATATTTTTGAAATCAAATTTATTGCAATATAAAGGATATGTTTGATAAAATTAAGACCACTAGGTTAGGTTTTCACAGTGGTAATTTTATTAGTCCTAATTTTCAGCCTACAATGATTCACATGTATAGTCCATATTTGGTTTATTTGATTTAATTTTTAGATTTTGGGAACCACTTATTTTATTATATTGGGTTGGTTCTAATGTGATCTATCAGGCTCAAAAGGTTGAATTTAGCTATAAAAAAAAAACAAAAATTCAGTAACATGCATGTTATTAGGAACAATGGCATGTTAAAAGGAACGGTGACATTACCTTCATGCAATGACTACTTTTGATTAATATTATACATCACATATGCTTTAGAAAGTCACTTGTTTAAATCTAATAATTGTTCACGGTTATATTTTCATGGCTTATGCACATGGTTTTGCTTTTGATAATTATTCAATAATATTAACATGCTTTTAGATTAAATTTGGTTATGGTATATGCATGCTAGAAATAAGCATTTTTAGGGAATTATTTGGCATGAAGGATTTATTTATGTTATGAACTATGTCACATGGAGATATCATATTAACTTAAGAGTAGCCACAATATCTTGAGTTATATTAGTGAATGATTAACATTTAGTTTGATCTTATTAAGTATATGTTTAACATACCCATACTGCAATTAAGTTATTATAGATAATTACTCGGCCCCACAGGGAAGTATTTATTTTTATACTACTTAATTGGAATAAGATATTGACCGGGGGTATTAAGGGCTTTGGATACCTTATACCCACAAGTTTTGGGATCCTTTGCTCCTTAGTATCTTAATTCATTAGTCTTATTATAAAGAATAATAAGCAAATCTTGTACAATTTATGACCTTTAATTTAACACCCTAAAATCTGGGGGTCCATGGATCATCCATCAATCTGCGGAATACCCGTGGATATCGAGTAACTCGATATTGCGCCGTAATGTCTCATTTACCGAGATCTATAATTTAACAAAATTCGGGCAAAGTCTCCCTTGTACAGGGAGCTCTACCCAAAATCCAACTTGTGCAATATACATTCATATGACCCATCTGAGGCCCAATATGAAACAATGACCGCACTGGGTCCATTTATGAGTAAACATTATAAAAACATGCAAGGGTATATTAAAAAGAGTCCATATAAGTTCAATTATAACTCTTTTACATAAAATTACATGCCAAAACTAATTTGCTTCAAAATTTTTACAAAAGGAGTTATAAAAGCCACAAGTCGGCCTTCTTCACCCTTACGGCCTCAAATGAGAGCCGTCCACTGGCGTATATCTCGCACCTGAAATATTTTTCCGTATAGAGTGAGCCACGCCTAGTGGAGTATTTCTTACAAAGGCTACTCCCCACCTAAGTGCACATGCAATGTTCACATTCAATATTTCATATTCACATCAACATTCCAAGTAAGCATATGCAATTCTAGGTTGGAATTCTACCATGCCATGCTATGAAATGAGATAAAACTCACTCAAGCCCTTTACCCTGAGCCCTCCCGGCTCCCTCCACACAATAGAATGCCAATATATGAAAAATCCGCCATTGATGAATTACATCCAATGATTATTTTGAAATAAAGTCATGTGGTTATAAAACCAAGTCATTGTTGGATGTTACACATCGGATGACTATTTTATAAAATAAAATCACGTGTCTTTGTTGAGTAGCGAACTTTTGGTGTCTCACCGCTGGCTTTGCAAACCAATACACTTTTTTAGACTTGCACCGTAGGAAGTGTATAAAACTAGTAGCCGGGTCTTGCACCTGAGGGAGAGTCTATCCCTACTTGCTATACCCGACACAAGTTTTTCATGCAACCGTGCNCTGTGGTTATACAATTGATTAATATTTTATCGAACTGATTAATATTTTTGAAATCAAATTTATTGCAATATAAAGGATATGTTTGATAAAATTAAGACCACTAGGTTAGGTTTTCACAGTGGTAATTTTATTAGTCCTAATTTTCAGCCTACAATGATTCACATGTATAGTCCATATTTGGTTTATTTGATTTAATTTTTAGATTTTGGGAACCACTTATTTTATTATATTGGGTTGGTTCTAATGTGATCTATCAGGCTCAAAAGGTTGAATTTAGCTATAAAAAAAAAACAAAAATTCAGTAACATGCATGTTATTAGGAACAATGGCATGTTAAAAGGAACGGTGACATTACCTTCATGCAATGACTACTTTTGATTAATATTATACATCACATATGCATTAGAAAGTCACTTGTTTAAATCTAATAATTGTTCACGGTTATATTTTCATGGCTTATGCACATGGTTTTGCTTTTGATAATTATTCAATAATATTAACATGCTTTTAGATTAAATTTGGTTATGGTATATGCATGCTAGAAATAAGCATTTTTAGGGAATTATTTGGCATGAAGGATTTATTTATGTTATGAACTATGTCACATGGAGATATCATATTAACTTAAGAGTAGCCACAATATCTTGAGTTATATTAGTGAATGATTAACATTTAGTTTGATCATATTAAGTATATGTTTAACATACCCATACTGCAATTAAGTTATTATAGATAATTACTCGGCCCCACAGGGAAG